GGCCCCGCCCCCTGGCCAGGAGCGCCGGCGGAGGGAGGCCTCGGCAGCCCTATCCCTCCGGGGGACCCTGTGAGCCCCGGCCTTAGCAAGGTGCCGGGGAGCGGAGCTGTTGCGTTTGGCTGCTGCGGGTGCCCTTCAAAGCCGGAGAAGGGGGGCTCCAGCGCGGTTTTAGGTGCTTTCCCAGCATGGCTGCGCGTGGCGGAGGTGAGAGCCCCCTGATCTCGGCGGGTGAGATGCCTAGAGATCTTCAGAGCATCCGTGGGCACCTGCACAACCGGCCGTGGCTCGGCCTGTCCTGCTTTTCCGGGAGCTGCCAGCCCGTCGGGGACCGAGGTGCAGGAGGAACGGGGACGGGTGCCGTACGGCAGGCAGCGGGACGGGGCTGACCCGCTGCACGTTTGCAGGATTTGCATGCGCTCGGGGCTGAGCTGCTGCACGTCAGGGAAGCACCGGAGCGGATGGGTGTGCGCAGACCGGTGGCCTGTGGCGGGGAGGCAGCCACAGAGGCTGAGCAGAGGGAGCGGGTTCAAGGGAGGGGAGGGGGTTACAGCCCTGCGGGGTGCCTCTTGCTGGGGAGCTGTTTTCTGCAAAGATAAACCTCAGGGGAAATGAGATTGGGGGTTGAGGTTCCCCTGTCACAACCAGTGCAACGCTCCCGCGTGGTGGCTGGGAGCTGGTGTGGTCTGGCGGGCTGTACGCAGGGAAGGAGCCCGTGGAAATCTGTCTCTGAATAACATCCCCGCTTGAGTCAGGAGACAGGCAGCTGCTTCGCTTCTGTCTGTTGCCCTTGAGGCAAGTCGGGACAAGTCCGTGAAAAGGCCGGTTTCCCTTCAGCGGGCAAGAAAGTGGTCTCTTCCCTCACCCCAAACGCTGAGAGCAAAGTCTTCTCTCAGTGGGCATTTGCTCCGAGGTGAACAAACAGCCTTCCCCGCAGACAGACGCAGGCAGCTCAGCCGCGCAGGGGTCGCGGCGGTGGCCAGGGCAGCGCAGGTGGCCGAGCAGCGTGGCCGGAGCCCAGGCAGCTGCCGGAAGGTGACCGGGCGCCGGGGAGGCCGTGCCTCGGTGGCTGACGATCCTGACCTGGTGAGAGGCGGATGCTGGATCCCTGCGCTGCGGAGGGGGCAGCTGCTGCTGCCGCCGGGTCTTGGGAGCGTTTCTGGGGGCCAGTTCAGCACCTGGGCTCGGGGAGAAGTTGACCCTGCGTGGCGAAAGGGACTGAAGTTTGCAGAGGCTCGTGATGCGGGAGGAACTTATTTTGCGTCAGTTTATCCATTGATGGGGCCTATGCAGACGTGGTTCGTGCTGATCCGTTCCCGGGGGGGGGCTGTGGTGACCTGGGGGAGGTTGCTTCAGAGGGCAGAGCCCGGTGAGCGGTGGGTGGAAGCGGGACGTGGCTGCTGTGTGTAACCCCCTCTCCCTTGCCCCCCCAGCTTACCTCTCTCAGAACAGCATGGCGCGACGCACGCGGAGCAGCAGGGCCTGGCACTTCGTCCTGAGCGGGGTGCGGCGCGAGGCGGACAGCCGGGCGGTTGCCTTGGCCACCGGCACACGTGGCTGGGGCTACGACTCCGACGGGCAGGTAGGCTGGTGCTCGGGTGGCCCTGAAGTGACACGAGGGAAAGCTTTCCTCTCCCCCGACAGCAGGCACTTACTCGAGGTCCGTGTAACCGAGCCGCTAGTACTTCAGCAGAACTGGCCAAAATCAGAAAAGACTTAATAAAATATACGGGCCGTCTAACGAGCCTTCTCCAAGCTCTAACGCGGGGTGTGGGGCTCCTGGCACAGGAGGCCCGAGGCAGGGAAGGCTAAGCTGCCCGTACTCTGCTCCCCGGTTGTGCACCGCAGCTCTGTCGTCAGCTGAGCCAGGGAGCTGATCGATGCTAAGCTAAGCGCTTTTTTTAAGCATATAACGTGTGTGTGGGGTATATAAAATACATACAATATTTTTTAAATATTCTTTTTTAAGTACTAGTTTAAACACTAAATGTGTGTTAAAAATATGTGTTAAAAACACAAAAAGGACTGTCGTGGTTTAACCTCAGTCAGCAACTGAGCCCCACGCAGCCGCTCGCTCACTCCTCCCCCCGCCCCCCCGGTGGGATGGGGGAGAGAGTTGGAAGAGT